GCCGAACCGCCAGCTGCCAGGCCGGGGCGGCGGGTGCGGCCCCGAGGCTGCCGAGGACGCGGCCAGAGCGAGTGGAGAGAGCAGCGACGTCGAGGAGCCCAAGGCGGTCTCAGCCTGCGTGCGACGCGTCGAGAGCAGGGGCAAGGCGCGGGTTCGGAAGGCCATGGACGAGCTGGGCGGCGAGCAAGGGACGGCTGCAGGCAGCAAGCCGGCCATCAGCTACCTGGAACGCCGGTCGGTGGGAAAGGCTACGCTGGAGACCTACCGCCAGTGCGTCCTGGTCTTCTGCGTCTGGGCCCGCTGCTCGATCGAGTGCCTCCCTGTGCCCGGCGAGCTGGACACGCTGCTGGTCGAGTACATGAACCTGGAGTTCTTGAAGGGGGTGAAGTCGTGGCGAGGGGAGATGCTGCTAGCAGGCATCTTGTTTTTCCACCTGGACTACGGCCGCCTGGGAGGTCTACACGCGCCTGGCTCCCTCCGCTGCCTGAAGGGTTGGAAGAAGCTGTCACCATCTCGCTCAAGGAAGCCCTTGGTGTTTGCGATCTGGGCCGCGCTGGCAGTGGAGTTGTGCCGAATGGGAGCCCCGCTGCTAGGAGCGCTCGTCCTGGTGATGGTAGAGTGCTACCTGCGGCCCGGGGTGATGCTGAGCCTCACGAGCGGCTCTTTCCTAGCCCCGAGCGAGCATGCAGTGCAGAACTGGGTGGTGTGGCTGTTCCCAGAGTCGGGGGCGGCTCGGAGCAAGGTGGGGTCGGCAGACGGCGCGATACCTTGCGATTCGGGACGGTGCCTTTGGATGAGCCACATTGTCAGAGCCCTGAAGGATCGTCGTTCGCCCCAGCCCCTCCTGGGCTTGAGCTACCCTCAGTCCCTGGGCCTCTTCCGCAAGGCTGCTCTGAACATCGGAGTGGATGCCGTTCCCTACCAAGGCCGGCACAGCGGGGCTTCGCTGGACCGAGCCGCCAATCGGCATTCACAGGAGGAGGTCCAGAAGAGAGGAATGTGGGCAGCGATGAGATCAGTAAAGCGATACGAAAAGTCAGGAAGGCTGAACGAGAGCTGGGAGTGCCTGTCCGACGAGACAAAGGCACACTGCGTGACAGCCTCGAGGCAGCTCGAGGATGTGCTGCTACTGGGCCGCGCTGCTGCCATCCCACCCTTTGCCAGCCGAGCAAGCTCCAGTCTGGGGCCGTCAGCCGGCAGTTGAGTAAGCAGCAGGTGCCCTACGTGCTGGATTTGTTCTCTGGCAGTGGCGGTCTCGCCAGATGTGCACAACGGCTTGGTATTCAGGCCGTGAATCTAGATATTCGGAACGGTGCTGATCAGAATGTATGTTGCCTTGCAAATCTGAAGCTGATTGAGAGACACTTCAGAGATGGTTTAGTTCGAGCTGTCATGCTGGCGCCCCCGTGTTCGTCGTTCTCGTTAGCTCGCAATCGATATCCTGTCAAAAGCGCGGAACACCCCGATGGGCTTCCAGGGCTTTCTGGCCATCACAAAGAAGCGGTTGAAGTTGGCAACTTATGCCTCCAGGCTTCGGCTTACATCATTGGTCTCTGCCTCCGTCACCATGTCCCATATGCGCTCGAGAATCCTTTGACTTCGTATATGTGGCGGTCTAAAGTCATGCGGGAGAAGATACTTCCTTCCTCACGAACGTTGGAGTTGCATCAGTGTGCCTTTGGCTCCAGGTGGCGGAAGGCCACGAGGATAATTTTCGGTTGCGTCACGGCTACTGGGGATCTCTGTCTAACGAATCGTGGTCGTCTGCTCTGTCACGGAAAGCATGGGTACTGTTCGTTTCGCCCGGGTCGCAAACATATCGTGCTCGAGGGAAAGAGTATGACCAGCCGTGCTGCTCAGTATCCTTTTCGCCTTGCATCGTTGCTTTGTCGTATGTTGACAAACCCTTGAGCTGCAATGACAAACAAACACCTTACCGCTACGCTGTGAACTTCGACTTTGCGAATCGTATGGAAGTCTCGACATCCATGCATGACTGATCTCTTATTACCTGTGTGTGGCCCCACATGGTAGCATAACTTACCACCAAAAAGAAGGGCCTCATGAGCATAGTAGTGCGATGTGCACGTTGTTGCTTTGAGAAGCCCTTTCGTTTTCTGTTGCCGCCCACAAGCAGCCTCTCTCTGCGGCTGCATGGGCTCAAGCTGCCCACCCTCGGCCACCCTGGACCTGTTAACATAGCGCACGTCTTTCGCCTGTACTCTGTCAGAAGTCTCGACAGCCATGCATGACTGATCTCTTATTACCTGTGTGTGGCCCCACATGGTAACATAACTTACCACCAAAAAGAAGGGCCTCATGAGCACCGAATTGTTCACATTTTCCCCTCCTGTCCTCTCCCCTTTTTGACCGACAGCATCCTTGCAGCGAATTTGGCTTCGGGGCGCCCTCGCGCCATTGAGCTGATTTGTCGGAGTTCGCTCGCACTCTCGTCTGAGAAAGTGATCTTCTCGGGCCTATCGGCCTCATCCGCCCCCAATGCCAGCCGACAATGGTAGCCGGAGCGTGAACGAGGACATGGGTCAGGGGGGCTCTGCTCAGCGTGGTGGTGAGGGCGACGCTCGAGGCGGAAAAGTTCGCGAGCAACAGAGCGCCCATGTACACGACCCGTGGGAGAAGCTCTCCACGCCCAAGAAGGATGGACCAGATGGAGCCCCAGCAGGCTCTACGAGTGGAGAAGAGGCGTGGGGAGACTGGCGAGGCACCGAGTGGTCTGATTGGAGATGGTGGTCCTCCTGGAGTTGGTCAGGGTCCAACTCGCGGGGTAAGTCACCGTGGGAAGAAGTCAATCGAGACTACTCTGCGCTTCCGACATGGCACGGGTTAGAGAATTTGGAGTTGTACCTTGCAAGTCTTAAGTCCTGGAACCAGAGAACCGCCTTCAAGACGGAAGCTCGGGCCGGGCGTATCATCGAGTCGTTTCCCATCGAGTTGCAGGCGATGTTTAAGAGCATCAGGCACCTGGTCGATGAAAGTGACGGTATCCAGAAGGTCATCGACCACCTCAAGCTGTTGAGCGGGGAACGCCCGGGAGGCAAAGAAAGAGAGGCACACAGCGAGGCATTGTTCGATTTCGCTATGCGGAAGGGGGAGACGCTCACAGATTTTGTAGTCAGGCGAGATCAGCAGATAGCAGCAGCCGAAAGGCTGGGACTGACGCTTCCAGACCAGGTCACGGCCAGGTACTACGAGGAAGGAGCGAATCTGACACCTCAGCTGAGGCTGAACCTGAGAACGTTGATGGCCGGCAGAAAGACGATAGACGCAGTTCGTGCCGCCTTGCTCGAGCTTGACATCACGGAGACGCAGACGCTTCCACGGGCTCCTGCGGCCGCGCCGGCAAAGACATTCGCGGTCACGGTGCCAGAAGAAGCCGACGAGTACGACTGCGGGTTGTACGACGACAGCGACTGCTTCGGCCTCTTCGAGATGGAGTTCGATGAGCAGGAGCTGACAACCATCCTCGTCTCTCTGGACTCCCAGGATCTGGACGAGGAGCACATATTGGATGTGTTCGCAGAGGTAACGCTCCCGCAGCGTCGCAGGGCGTGGGCAGAGGCCAGGCAGCTCAAGACCAACAGACGGGTGGACAGGGACTTCTTCGATAGACGCAAGAACACGAAGAAGGTCACCAGGGGCGATTTCAAGAAAAGGTCACGCTGTTCGAATTGTTGGGAAAAGGGGCACTGGCGTGAGGACTGCAGGAAGCCGTACCGAAGTAGAGCAGATCGCCTGAAGTCGGAGTCATCCCGACCGGCAGCCGGAAAGAGGCAAGACAAGAAGCCGGTGCAGTCTTCGTTCTATTTCAACTTGAAGCACGGTGCGAGCACCCACTCTGGGACGAGCTGGACTGCGATCTCCCATGAGGAGGGCCAGGTGGGACCGCTCATGGAGACCGCGGGCAAGACGATCACGGGCCAGGTGGGCCAGCGGTTGCCGTCTCCGGGTCAGGTGGACCTAGAGATGCTCGTTGCGGCTGCGCTGCAGGACATGGACGAGTACGCCCTGGTGGACACGGCGGCTGGCCAGGCGTTGATAGGCGCCCCAGATATCGATCGGCTCAGGTCGGCGTTCAAGAAGAAAGGATATGAGGTGCACATCTTTGACACCGACAAGGTTCCGACCGCCAATGGAGTGGGCGGAAAGGCCAAGCCGATCGGAGTAGCTGCAGTTCCTGTCTCTCTTCAAGCGTGTGGCGTGGTCGAATTTCTGATTCTGCCCCGCCCGTGTCCCCCATTGCTGCCAGCGACGTTTCTGGAGTTTCTCAAGTCCGCGATCGACCTTCGATGGGATGTCATGATGATCGGGGAGGAAGGCAACCGCCAGGATCTCAAATTGCTGAAGCTGCCCTCGGGCCACCGAGCCGTCTCGCTCATAGGCCGCGAGTCCGCGGATTTCTCGATTCACCAGGATCTGGCGGACAAGTCCCCTCCCTTCGTTGTGGAGACTGGCGGAGCTCACTCGTGGCTCGAGGTACCGTCGAAGTTGCAGGATTGCTGGGTCCAGCTGGAGAGCGTCGTTCGGCGCGTGCACGTGAGTCCGAGGCAGGATCCTTTTTCTTTTGCCGAGGCCGGCCCACCTCCAGCCTCGATTTCATATTCAGGGCCGGGCCGCGTCATCTATCAGATGCTGGACGACGGCTCGTCCGGCTGCCGCATCCTCGAGGGCTCCTGGGCCGACGGCGTCCCGAGCGAGGTGCTGTAGTTTGCCGGCCGCTGGATCGGGTACACGGAGTTTCCGATCGAGGCTCTCGGTCAGGACGTAGGGGGCGGGGCGGGCTGCACTGCCTGCGAGGGACAGCGTTCGCTCTTCTCTCGCTCTCTCCCCATCCAGCCTTGCCTCAGAACAGTCGGGAACCAGTGCCAGGCAGTTTTCAGGCCCAGGGGCTAGCCGACCCTCCGTGGCACATCCCGGCTCGAGCTCTAGCAGTGACCAGTCGGGCCAGCGACCCTTGCACGCTCTACGGTATCGAGCGCCCGATGCCGACCCAGAAGGTCAAGATCATCAAGCCCCGGAGCACTCGCTCGCTTTCGCATCTACGCCAGCAGGTGCTGAGGACTCAGCGCGACATCATCGAATCGGACCCGGAGCTGGAGGTGATCCCGGAGTACGTGGAGGAAGCGGGGTCAGAGATCGAGATGAACTGGGATCAGACTCCCGACCCCTGGGTCGACACCGAGCTGCAGCGCATCAACTTCGAGGAGGAGGCCATGGCGGTGGTCGAGAAGTAGCTGTTCTACGAGGGCGCCTTCCTGCTGAGCCCGGCCGTTCGCACGTGGCGCAGGTGGTCCATCAAGATGGCGCTGTTCCTCAGGGTCTGCGCGATCTCGCGCCAGTCGGCGATCATGGCCCTGCGCGTGACTCTGATGGGCAAGGTAGAGGATGAGCAGTCGAGCTGTTCCCACCCGTTGGCCACAAGGTGGAGCGGCGGGAACCAGCACGGGCACTACTCGAAATGCAAGATGCGCGACAAGCGACTGGCGTCCGTGAGAAAGACAAAGGAGAACATCGAGGAGGCGCGCCTGAAGATGAAGCGCGAGAAGAAGCTCAAGAAGGAGGAGCCCTGTGGTGTTGCGAGGGGGGGGCGGAGTCCAGTGACGATCGGCTCCGACGGTTTTGCATTTCGATTGCCAGAGTGGATGGGGCCATTCCCCTCAGAGTAGGGGCCGCCATACCAGGGCCTCTGGTGGAAGCGCGTCAGGCGGCCCCTCGCGGCGAGCTGCGAGCATGGCTCTTGACGGCGCGAGCCACGTCATAGCACGTGGTCTATGTCACGGACAACAGTGGAGTGGATGATAGCTGGGCCGAGAGACGCCATGGGTCTCTGTCAGGGCCTGATGCCGATTTGCGGCGGCAGTTGGGTGAGCAGTTTCGAGGGCGAGATGAGGCATATATTTGCGGTATTGATTACCAATTCACATCTGGAGTTGCGCGAGTTTGCCTGATGGTCAGCGCCAGCGTGGATGGTGCAGGGAAATTCTGTTGCTGATATTATTGACACGGCTGCCGCCAAGCGGGTCCGTGTTCCCGAGGATAGGAGGTTCGCGTGCCAGGATAATGAGCGTGCAGCTTCCATTGTGCGAGTGAGGCTGTTACGAGCCACGGTAGATGCCTTGGAGTCTTAGAAAGAAGTGGAAGTAGGTGCCCTTAAGGAAACTTCTGAGCGGCCCAACCCTCCCGTTGCTCCTTCGGCTGTGCATGTGTTCAGTGCCGCCCGCGTTTTAGCTGATTGTGGGCGCCGGTGTCTTAGGTGCTGCAGCCCCGCTATCCTGGCCACTTGTGCTGTGTGGTGCGGCAGTCCGTGTCTGGAGCCCGGTAACATTGACGGGTTCCTGGTTGGATTGCCGACACGGGTGCATGTGCATATTCACATGCAGCTGGGGTGATGGTGCACAGTAGCCATCGCATTGCTGTCCATGTGGGCATTTCGCTTGCCAGTGTTCGAGAGGCCTCGGGCAGCCGTGCCATGAGGCCACGACTTCCAAACGAGCAACATATTTTCCCAACGTTGTCGGGCGTCGTCATCCACAGAATTCGCTTCGTGACCGTCGTCGCTCACTCACTCACTTTTTGCTCCCCCCCCCTTCCGTCCCTTCCTCCCCTTTTTCTCCTGATCCTTACTTCGCCTTCCTCTTGCTCCGTCATGCTCCGTCCTCCCTCTTTCCCTCCTGCTTTATTTGCCCTCCGCCTTCTTGCCCTGCGTCCTCTGCCCTCTTGCCCTCGCTGGAGGCCATTTCTTTATTGCTTGGGGCATGACGGGCGTCATGGCCCCCGCCCCCCCCCCCTCCCCATGACGCAACGCTCCCCCCCCAGTGCGCTCCTGGCACTGCCGCCGTGCGCATTGGGATCGCGTAGGTGCCCGCGTAGGAATCCGCATAGGTGTTTGGTCCGCAGGCGTCGTCGTCGTCGTCGTCGTCGTCGTTCGTCGTCGTCGCTCGTGGTTCGTCGCTCGTCGCCCATCGTCGTCGTGCGCGCGGAAGCGGCTGGAGCCTATTTTTAGGTCCGGGCCGATGACGGCAATCATCTGGGGGGGAGGGGGTCGATGACGTCACGTTTCGCGCCGGCGGCGTTTGGGAATGGTCAGGCATGACGGAGGACGGGTAGCACGAACATGTAGGTGGCGATATGCACCACAACGCCTGTGTACATCACAGTGCCCGCGTGCACCACAGCGCCTGTGTACACCACACCGCCGATGCACACCACAGCAGCCGCGTGCAACACAACGTCAGTTTGTGCCACCGTGCCTGCGGGCACAGCAGCTCCTGTGTACACCACATCGCCTCCGTACACCACATCAGCCGTGCGCAACACAACACCAGTGTACACCACAATGCTTGCGTGCACTGCAGTGCTTGTGTACGCCACGGCGCCTGTGTGCACCACGTCAGCCGTACACAGCAACACACTCATGGACAAAGGAGCGCCGCCGGAATCTACGAGTCCCCCCGAGTCCGCCCGCATCACCCTAATTCCCATATGCGTCCAGGAGGTTCCAGCTAAAGTGGCCGTCCAACAACCAAGTGGACCGATTCAATCGACCATTCTGCGGTGCACGCTGAGATGCGCACGTTCGTTGTAACGCCAAGCCGCACGACAGGGGGTAAGAAGGAGGAAAAGGAGGACGAGGAGGAGGAGGAGGAGGAGGTGGAGGAGGAGCGAGGAGGGGAAAGCGTCACTTTCCTGGCGTGGCGTTTAATTGTTCGCATCATATCCTGACGTACATGCTTCTTCTACTATGTACGCAGGCACTGTGGTGTACACCAGCGCTGCGTTGCACGCGGATACTGTGGTGTAAACAGGCGCTGTGGCGTGCACAGGCGCTGCGGTGCATGCAAGCACTGTGGTGTACACAGGCGTTGTGTTGCACATGGCTGCTGCGGTGTATGTACACTGGCGCTGCAGTGCTCCCAAGTATTGTGGTATATGCGGGCGGTGCGTTGCACACGGCTGTTGCGGTGTACGCAGGCGCTGTGGTGCACACGCGCGGCGTGGTTCACGCGAGCGTTGTGGTGCACACAGGCGCAATGGCCAGATCGCGACTTACATGTTGCTCGCGTCGTCGTCGTCGCTCGTCGCTCGTCGCTCGTCGCGTCGTGCGCGCGGGCGCGGCTGTGGTGCCCGAGCCACACGGCGGGGGGGGCGTCACGTCATACCCCCCCCCGCCCTCCCCCCCCCCATGACGCCGTCATCGCCGAACATAAAGAAACGCCTTCCTGCCTCCTCTTTCTTCGCGGGCGGGCATCGCAGCCGAGGCTCTTAGAGTGCCGGGGTCCTTACCCAGCTGCCACGAGTGGGTTCGGACCACCGCAGCCATTCTACAGAGGCACATCGTGCATGGTGAACCGAGCCAGGTTGTGATCGAATGCTCGTAAGGGCCCTCCTTCAGAACCCGTCGGAAAAGGCCTTCGCGGCCGAGGCCTTGATGACGGTCTTGGGGTATCGCCCGCATTGCGCTGCGAGCCACTTAGCTCGGGCCCTCGATGACAAGGACTTGTGAGGATGATCTCAGGCCTACAGAGCGTGTTCACGTGCGCAAGCAGGAACCGAGGCGGACTGCGAGTGCGTTGATGGCTGGCATGAGCCACAGGAGCAATGTTCGGCTACACCTCAGAGTGACCCAGCACCTGCGTTACCTCTGTTGCGCAGCTTTTGGAGGGCGGCGCGGGGGCCGAATCAAATTACGCAGGCCGTTGCCGTGCGCTATAGGCCGTTGTTGCCCAGGGCGCTTCCTGCGTGCAGCGAAGGCGCGAACGCACTTCGGCGCAGTTGCTGGGCGTGTTTCCGGTCGACGCCAAGGGTTCACTTCGGCGGGGGGGCGGCTGGGGCTCGAACGACAATACAAATGATGCGCGTTGCCGTGCCATGAGCATCCTTGTCGTCCCGTTTTCCCATCCTGTTTGCTTCCTTTCCCGCCTCCCTATATGCTTCTCCTTTTGTGGGGCGTTCGGCATGGATCTCTTGCCAACCGCAGCAATCCAACTTTCGCGCAGAAGGCCGCTAGAACCCGCCGAAACCGCCAGAAACCGCAGAAGACCGCCAGAGACCGCCGAATATCGATGGGTGACAGGGGTTGGCGGCGCGCACATGTGAGGTGCGTGGCGACTTAGAGGAATGTGGGCGGCTCCGGTAAAAGGGTTCGGGGCCATCGAAAAAGAGGGCGGCAGGGCTTCCAGGGATCCCCCCTGGCTTCCCTGATGGCCCCCCCATTCCCTCGCACCCCCCCCCGGCGCTCCCGTATAAAAGGCCCCTGATCGAAAACTTAGCATCCGCCTCCGCCTCTGCTCTGCCCCCCCGCCCCCAGATCACTGGATACCAGATTTTTTGGGCCGCGACCGGTAGCGACCGATCGGCACTTCAAATCGGTCGCGACCGATGCCGGAACTTGAGGCAAAGTCGGTAGTGACCGATCTCTGCGGTGGCGACCAGAAAATTATGGCATTCAATGATCATGGTCCCCTGCAGGCCGAACGGCATCAGCAGCAGCGCCCCTGTGGCCCGGCTCACGAAGCCGCGCGGCCTTGCCAGGGCTGCCGCGGCCCGGAACGCAGCCCAAGGTTCGGACGGAAGGCCGCTTCCGCCCTCCGTTTCCTGCTGTTTGTTGTGCCTTTTTTCTTCTTGTTATTATTCGTTTCTTTTTTTTTTGTCGTATAATTTTGAGCCCGTTTCTTTATTGCTTGGGGCATGGCGGGCGTCATGGCCCCCGCTGCCCCCCCCCCCCTTTGCTCCGGGCACTGCCGCCGTGCGCATTGGGATCTGCGTAGGCGTCCACGAAGGAATCCGCATAGGAGTTTGGTCCGCAGTCGTCGTCGTCGTCGTCGTTCGTGGTCGTCGTCGTCGTCGTCGTCGTCGTCGTCGTCATCGTCGCTCGTGGCTTGTCGCTCGTCGCTCATAGTCGTCGTGCGCGCGGACGCGGCTGAACCCCCTTTTTTTATTCCGGGCCGATGACGGCAATTATCTAAGGGGGTTGAGAGGGTCGATGACGTCACGTTTCGCGCCGGCGGCGTTTTGGGAATGCTAAAGCATGACGGAGGACGGGTAGCGCCAGCATGTAGGTGGCGATTTGCACCACAACGCTTGTGTACACCACAGTTCCTGCGTGCACCACAGTGGCTGTGTACACCACGCCGCATATGTACACCACAGCAACCGCGTGCAACACAGCGCCAGTTTGTGCCACTGTGCCTGCGGACTCAACAGCTCTTGTGCACACCACAGCGCTTGCGTACACCACATCAGCCGTGTGCAACACAGCACCAGTGTACACCACAATACGCGCGTACATTGCAGTGCTTGTGCACCACGGCGCCTGTGTGCGTCACAGCAACCGTGTGCAACACAACACCACTATTGTATATAGAGTGTTAGAACGAATCTTTATGACAGCGTTGAGTACTTGTGGATTCCACAGAAAACATTGGAAAATAGTCCGTATGGACAACGGAACGCCGCTGGAATCTATGAGTCCTCCGAGTCCGCCCGCATCACCCTTTTCTTTACATCTGCGTCCAGGAAGCTCCAGCTAAATCGGCCGTGTCAGAGCCAAGTGGGCCGATTCAATAGACCAGTCTGCGGTGCGCGCTGAGATGCGCACGTGCGCCAACCCGCACGACATGGGGTACGGAGGAGGATCAGGAGGAGGAGGAGGAGGAGGAGGAGGAGGAGGACGAGGAGGAGGTGGAGGAGGACGACGATGAGGAAGAGGAGGAGGAGGAGGAGAAGGAGGAGGAGGAGGAGGAGGTGGTGGAGGAAGAGGAGGAAGAGGGAGGAAGAAACATCGTCGCATTCGATTCTCAACACGTTCTGGCGTGGCGTCTAGTTGTCCGCATCAAATCCTCACGCACATGTTCTTTCTACTTGTCCTATGCACGCAGGCACCGTGGTGTACACCAGCGCTGCGTTGCACGCGGATGCTGTGGTGTAAACGCGCGCTGTGGCGTGCACAGGCGCTGCGGTGCACGCACGTTTTGTGGTGTACACACAGGCGCTGTGTTGCACATGGTAGCTGCGGTGTGCACATGTACACCAGCGCTATAGTGTACGCAGGCACTGTGGTGTACACTGACGCTGCGTACACTGGAGCTGCGTTGCACACGGTTGTTGCGGTGTACGCAGGCGCTGTGGTATACACGCGCGCTGTGGTGCACGCGAGCGTTGTTGTGTACACACTCGCAGTGGGGCATATCGCCACCTACGCGCTGCTCGCGTCGTCGTCGTCGTCGTCGTCGTCGTCGTCGTCGTCGCTCGTCGCTCGTCGCTCGTCGCTCGTCGCGTCGCGCGCGCGGGCGCGGCTGCGGTGCCGGAGCCACACGGCGGGGTGGCGTTACGTCATACCCCCCTTCGCCCTCCTCCCCATGACGCCCGTCATCGCCGAACATAAATAATCGCGCTCTTTTCTTCGTTTAACTGTGTTGCAAATTTGTAGAAGTGTTTTCTTGGCGGGCCGCTGGGGGTCCTCCTTTTTTTCCCTCCCTCCTTCTGTCGCTGCCGGCGTACGTGCCGTGGTTGGCGCTGCCGTCCCTCCTCGTTCTCGTCCTCGTTTTCGTCGTCTGCAGGAATCCAGAGACCCCCAGCAGGTTTACTGACAGAGATCATGCCATTGCTGGTATGGCTCAAGGCAAGCACCCGAAGAAAAGATCTCGCCATGGTAGCGGAGCCGTGGTCCCGACCCTCCCAGTCCACAGGGTCGGGCTCCGCGGCCCCCTCTCCCGCCAGCGGCGCGGGGAGCCCCAGCAGCCTGGGGCCGGCCGCCGGTGCGGGAGCCACAGCAGGGCCTGCCGGGCCCAGCTCCAGCGAGGGCGACGAGTGGGAGCTCGTCGAGGTCCATCGAGGCTGGAGGAGAGTGGCGAGGCAGCTACGCAAGCTGTTCAGGCTGAGGAGGACCTGGGCAGCGCTGGGCCAGCACCTGAAGGATTTCACGAAGCTGCGCGCGAACCGCCGCTGAGATGGCGGAGGAGCGCGTGCAGGCTCTAGAGCAGCAGATGATAGCGCTGGCCCAGGAGCTGCAGAACCGCCAGAAGAGGGATAACGATCTCACGGCCGAGGTGCAGCGGCTCGGCCGTGTGGCCGAGGCTAGACCACGGGTGGACGGGCCTGTGCCGCAGCCTCGAGCCGAGTCGCTCGTGGACACCCGCACGCTGGGCAAGCCAGACGTGTTCACGGGCGAAGAGCACAAGTGGAACGATTGGAAGGTGATCTTCAAGGCGTACTGTGGCGTCGTGAGCGCCGACTTGCTGGCAGGGATGCGACTGGCAGAGAGCGCTGACGAGGCCTCAGTTCAGAACGATGACTTCCTCGAGGAGAACATGAGGCAGGCCTCGCAGCAGATGTATTACATCTTGCTCCTCCTCTGCCGGCAGCATCCCCTGACGACGATCGTGAATGCTGGCGAGAATGAGGGCTTCCAGGCTTGGCGCAAGCTGGTTGAATACTACGAACCGAATGCGAGGTCCCGCATCGCGGGGCAGCTGCTGAATATCCTGAACTTCTCGTTCACTGGCGATGTCGAGGACCGGCTGGCGCTGTTCGAGCGAGAGCTCCTCAGGTACGAGCAGAGGAGCGGCGAGGCCATCACAGCCTCCATGAGGATCGGCATCGTCCTTCGGCAGCTCGAGGAAGGCCCTCTACGCCAGCACCTCTTGCTCAATGCGACCAGGCTGGTGGAGTGGCAGGACTTCCGACGTGAGGTCACCGACATCCGCCGTGCCCACAGCGCCATCGCCCCGGTGCCCGTGCCCATGGACCTGAGCGCGTTCACCAAGGGTGACGGCAAGGGCAGGTTCAAGGGCGACGGCAAGGGCAAGAGCAAGTCCAGTGGCAAGGGCGAGAGCAAGGGCGACAGCAAGGGCAAGTCCAAGTCCGACGGCAAGAGCAAGACCAGCAGCAAGTCACATGGTCAGCAGCTCGGGCCACTCTGCTGGGGCTGCGGCGGTCGCGGCCACACTCAGCGTGAATGCCCGAGCAAGCGCAGGGGGACGTTGGCGAGCATGGAGCAGACGCTGGCTCGCATCAACGCCTCCCAGTCGACGAGTGCGACCGTGCCATCGGCGGCCAGCTCTATCTCGACGGCTGCGACTACGAGGCTGAGTCCGGCGACGGCGATGTCCGGCACGAGCTCTCGACAGGTCGCGGCACTCTACCTGAACGACGCGGGCGAGCAGGTCAGCTACCCGTTCGCGAACCTCCACTCCCTCAGCATCTACGACCCGGGGCCGGACAAGGCGGACGTGGCCCCGGTCGACTCTGCGACCGGCGCGGCCCTGGACCTGAACATGATCCACGGCAATTCGGATGCGGAGGAGGTCGAGCTCAACGGCATCTTGCGTGTGGGCATCGACTCGCGTGCGGCGGCATCGGTGCTGCCGCGTGGCTCGTGCGCGGACTACCCAGTGCACGAGGGCGGCCAGGCGATCTCGTGCAAGACCGCCTCTGGCCACTACGTGAACGACGAGGGCGAGAAGATCCTCGTGGGGGCGATGCCTGGGGCTTCTCAGGCACGCGCTGCCAAGTTCAGGGTGGCGGACGTCAGCAAGCCGTTGCTGAGCGTCGCGGAGATGGTCGACTCCGGCCATCGGCTCGTCTTCGACTCGGAGGGCGGGCAGGACATTAGCTACGCGCACCACAAGACCAGCGGAGACGTTGTCAGGTTCTGCCGCAGGAATAAGGTCTACGAGATGGATATGCACGTCGACCCGCACGTGCCGGAGGTCTGCCCGGTCGAGGCGGCAGGCCGCGAGCCTCCCGAGGGCGAAGCCGGCCAGCCAGGCGCGGCTCACGAGGAGGTCGCCGAGGGCCCGCCGGCACGGCCGGCGAGGGAGCCCGCAGCGCCGACGGCGGCCGAGCGAGCCGCGCACGAGGTGCTGCACGAGCCCTACAGGGCATGGTGCCGGGAGTGCGTCTCCGGCAGAGGCCTGTCAGCAGGCCATCAGACGAAGGACCACCAGGAGTCGGCGCTCGCGGTGGTTGGCATCGTCTACGGCTACCTCGGTGAACGAGAGGACGCCACGCCGCTGCTGATCGGGAAAGATTCGAAGCAGCGCTGGTTCCACGCGTCGGTGGTGCCAGCTAAGGGGACGCAGCATCCCTGGCCGGCAAAGTCGTGGTCCAGGAGGCTGGCATCGGCTGGCCACAAGCGCTTCGTCTTCCGCTCAGACGGCGAGGCGCCGCTCGTCGCCCTGACGACCCGCATCGGGGCCAAGCTCAAGGAGGAGTACGGCATCGAGACGGTGCCCGAGGAGAGCGCGGTCGGCGACTCTCAGGGCAACGGCCTGGCCGAGCACGCGGTGCGCGAGGTCGAGGCCAAGGCGGGGGCGGTGCGGGCGCAGGTGGACGACCTCCACGGCGTGAGCATTGGCGTCGAGCACCCAGTGACCCCGTGGATGGTCGAGTTCGCAGCCATGTCCATCAACCTGGGCAGGCGGGGCGCTGACGGCCGCACGGCTTGGGAACTTCGGCACGGCCGCCCCTTCAACAAGGACCTGGCTTGCTTCTCGGAGAAGGTCCTGTATCTCCCAGGGGGCAAGCGCAAGGCTGGGATCGAGGACAAGTTCCTCGCTGGGCTCTACCTGGGG